GTGCCCTTATCCCGTGATAAAAGTTAGTGAAAACTAACAACCCAGTTCAGGCAGGCTACTCGTGACATTAACTCTTGAGTAAAGATTGGGGTCATTCCACCAGACAAGAAACCACCAGACAAGAAGCAACTTGGGTTCTTGCTGAGAACAGAAGGACAATGGGATGGTTACTGGGAAGAAGAATACAGCTATGGCCACATGACCAATTACAGAAACAAAGGCTAGCTGAGTATTAGAGTGCAGTTTTACTTTTATTTTAATTTGAAAAGTAAAATACGACTAAAGGCTGTGTATAGATGCTGAATGGACAAAGGATAGGCTGTAGTAGTTTTGTACTTTGCCAATTTGGCTAAATTAGACCTAGGTTTCCCCAAATCTCCTTCCCTGTATGGCTCTCGGTTAGAGCTGGCCAAAAAGAGAAATTTGCCCAAGATCTGGAAGTGAAAGGGAAGCAGCTATTACTATGCTGAAGGTCAATGTCATTAGAGGCAGTTAGAGACAGACATTAAGGGTCTGGCAGAATTCAGTTTGTTCTCTCTCTTCCCTGCCCCATGTACAGCTCCTCAGGCTGACTAGCAGAGACTAGATATACAGGCAATAGACATCATCTACTCTCCTTCAGTGTGGTCCCACTCCATGGGCCAGACATGGACTTGCCACCTACAGCAATGCTTTACAAGACCTGGTTAGTGACATTTCTCTGATCCTCCATCTCTGAGATGCTTTAGACTCTTCTCATCCAGCTTCTCCCAGAATTGTGTAAGAACTTATTCCTATATTAAACTCCATAAAATTCATAGTGGTTCTACTTTCCAGACTAAACCCTGGCTGGTAAACCATGCTTTTCAGATAAAGCTTTCTGTCCCTGTGGACATCTTCTGTGCTTGGACACTATCTTACCTCCTTCCTTGAACTCAGAAAAGATAACATTTTTGAATAAAAGTTTTATGCTTGTATTTATGTCCATGGAGAGAATATTATGAAAGAAAAAAAAAAACCCTAGAAAATGTGAAGTACCTAGGAATCAGTGCCAAGTAAATGGCTACATCCTTACTACAGTGCTGTCTTCTAGATTTTGCTCAGAGTTACATAGGATAAAGAATGATTTCTGGATGCTCAAGAATATACCCATGGATAATAAGTGCAATTTATAACATAATTTTACTTGTGATTTCTTTGTATATATAATGGAGGCTGATGTTAGCATTTCTACATCAAAACTGGACAATTCATTACGGAATGTCCACACCCTGCCAGTGATATTTTCCTGATCCTAAACAAGACCAGATTAGTTTTCAATAATCTAAAAAAGCAATGGATCTGTCCTATTTGCTGCACACTCATTCATATTAGATACAAGTATAAGAAAATTCTCCTAGGTCTCTATGTGCTCTACAAAAGGGCTAATTCATTAAAAAAAAAAAAAAAGTTACCGAAGATATCCAGAATTCAATCAGATATCATTAAAACAGTCATTAAGAGTTATTTGATCCTAAGAGCCAGGAAGATATAAAAAGAAGGATTCTGTCAAGTCCTAAGGTCATTAAATTTAGGCAGGAAGGCATAAAGGTAATTTCCTGATAAGCAAATTCTGTGAAAGCCTGTTTAGTCCCATCAGAGCTCAAACATGGACCTAGTAACATCCTGGCCTATATTCTCTGGTCATTAAGAATTCTCAGAACTCAGTGAAAACAATCCCAAGAATTTTACACGTGCACGTAACATAAAAATTATTTGGCCCATTACACACTTATTTTCTTAGTAAACATCTTCTGACCCTAGGAAAACTTCCAATTAAGAACAGAAATGCAGAGGTAACTATAGTCACTGTGGCAAACATTTGGTGGTGTATATAATTGTCAAGTCACTATGTTGTACATCTGAAACCAACATAATATTGTATGTCAAGTATATTCCCCCAAAAAGGAGCCATACCAAAAACAACAACAAAAAAACCCAGGAATGCTTAAAGGAAATTATGTGTAATATTAATATTTTATGTTAAGGACTCTGTGCATATTTGGTACTTTAAGTATTTGTAAAATTTAAGAGAATTTGACCTATTGAAGTCATATGTCAGGTTTTTAATTCCAATTTAATGTGTATAATCAATTATTGCAGATTTATTATTTTAATCAGAAAGTATACTCTTTATATACAGTATTGAAACATTTGAAAGACCTTAAGTCATGGATTACAAAAATCACCTAAGCAATCAGTGATGTCTGTTAAATAATTAACATTCTTAAAAAGGAAACTTTAAAATTTATAAAATAAATTTAATGTTTTTAAGATGTTTAAGTTGTAAATTAATATTCAAAGACCCAAAGTTAAAATTTGCCTGACATAAAATAGGATAAAGGTTTGTAAACTGATTCTAAAAGGTTAAGAGCTTAAGTTTTAAATTTTTAGCTTCTGTAGACTGGATATTATTTTTTTTAATGAATGAAAACTCTCAATAGGCTTTTCTACATACAAAGGCCAACCCAGCGAGCATCAAAACCCTAACCTACAATCAGCTGTGTGGAGCCAATTTACTAAATGTTCAGGAATTTTGCAAGCTGGTTGTTAAACACAGTGTTATTAAAAATTAGTTCAACTAAATTACATTAAAAACAAAGGTAATAAATATTCTAAATTCATCAGTGCCTAATTATTTCACTATACACTACTTAAGGCTACTTTTTTCTATTTTATCTATAAAGTAGAAATTATAGTTCTATGTTACCACATCTTCTAATATCACAATCAGTGATGTCATATTAGTATCTTGAAATCAGCCATGTTGGGAATATTTACACCAAAGAAATAGGCAAACCACAAATCAGGGCTTTATGGACTAAGAAAAGCTGCAGGAAAATGATGATCTGATGAAAGGAGTCACTTCCCACAGGGTGAAGACAAATAAAAACAGTATATAATAGCTAAAAGGACTTTAGAGATCACCTAATATTCTAGGGCATTCCCCAAAGTCTCAGAAAGAATACAAGGGGAGTTCTGAAGACATTTAAGTACATGAGGTTTGAACAGAAGAAATGTTCATAAAGACAGCATAAAATAAGTAGGAAAGGTAAACGGAGACAAGACTGAAACACTGAGAAATTGCAGACTATAAACAATTGGGACTTACTGCAAATGCCATTCTGAGGGGTTTGAGCTTTAACCTACAAGGCAATGTGGAGCTACAGAAAGTTTGAGGGCAGGAGAGAGATGAATCTAGCAAGAGTTGATAGGATACAGTGAAGTTAATGAAACGCTTTATTCTTAAAAACCGTGAAGCAGACATAAAAAAAGTACACTACATATAATAAACAAAAGTCTTGAATATGGCACTAAAATCAATTAAAATTCAAAGCTCAAAATAATACATACCCTATGATTCCATTTAAAATGCAACCCATACATACTGACAAAAAGCACATCAGTGGTTGCCAGGTGCTAGTATTTTCGGCATAAATGGAAAAGTTATGCAAATGACAGCAATTTTAGAAGAGTAAAACTTAACTTCTAGCTTCCCTCTCTTCATTCCATTAGCTCTCATTATCTCCGGTAACTGTCAATTCTTTTTCCCAGCTATTGTGTACAAGTAAAATCTCATTTCATAACTTTCTCTCATTCTATCCTCATGCTATCCATTCCCACCAAGCCCTTCTTAACAACTTCTGGGAGGCTGTTCAATTTCTTCAGGTACGTAATTTCTTCAGGTATTCCTACCTCCCAGGTATATAAAGCACGACACAATTAAGAAGAGCTCCAAATAGACACTGTTTTGCTTTAGTCATTTTCTATCCATTTATGCTCCTTGAAGGCAATCTCTTATTTATCTTTGCATTTCCCTCATCATACCTAGCATAGGGTATAATATAATAAATAGTAGGCCCCAAATAAGTATTTCTCCAGACAATGTCTGTGGCACCTAGAAATTCAGAAATGAGTTAAAAAAACAACACTGTACAAGTGAGAATCTGTTATAACAAAGACATAAACATTTTGTGCATTTTGAAAAGAACAATCGATATGACCAGAAGAATTCGGAACATGTCTCAGAGGTTACACTGAGCTATAACCCGAGTGTGGAGGGATGTAATGGGAGGTTACATACCTACTTCATTAAATAGTGTAAAATAAAAGTCCAAGAGAAAAACCTTTAATAGTGACATCAGGATAATTCTTAACAGCAAATACTGTAAAAAGATCCCACCAAACTAGGCTCTGCAAACACATTTGGTGCAGAAAACAAAAAGGAACAACCTTTTCTAAAGACTAATTATTACACAAGAATTTCCACTGCCATTTGGCACACGATCTAGAAGTCCAAGCTGGAGTAGTGTTTAAGGACAAAATGAGATCTAAATTTCAAGATCCTTGTGCCAATACTGGACGGTATACCCGAAGATTCTGAGAGCTGCCACCTTACTGCTAAGTGGACTCAAGGGCAAGTACAGCAACTGCCCCATCTCTAAAGTCAGAGGTGGTCCAAGGAAAAGTCAGTTGCAGCCTGCTAGGGCCCAGGCGTACCCGAAGGGTTGCGACGGGCGTAAAGCAGCAAAACCGCTCTCGTGGGGCTACGACCGCCTTCCTGCGCATCCTCGAAGCCAGAGCAGCAGTGAACTGCTAAACCTGGTCGTCGCAATCCATCGGGAGTCGCCGCGACTGGAGAAACCATGAGTTTGCCGCCTTACCAAGTCTCAGACAATAAGCGCCCGCAACTCCCACTTACAAAGCGCCCTGCGGTTTCCACTTGCTCCCGGCTCACCGGGAGGAAGGGAACGTGAAGCCTCGGCTTCCAGCTCCGCCCGCAGCGGCCCCGAATCCGCTGGGGGCTAAAAATAGGAGACGGGCAGAGCGACCTCTGGCCACAATCCCCGCAAAGAGCTGGACCGATCCAGGCGTCAGACCCACTCGGGCCCTCACACAGCGGACCAGAGATCCGCGGGGCCGCGCAGCGGCAGCGCCGGAGGGACCAGGGCAGCCCGGGGAAACGGGGCTGCCAACCTCACCTGCCGCTTGTTCATCCGCCGCACATCGTCCAAAAAGTCTAGGGACAGCATGGCGGGGCCGGCGAAGGCCACGCGGGGAGCAGGGAGGATGCTTCGCTGCCGGTAAACGGCTGGCTCTCCCGCGGCGCTTACACTGGGTAGGACCCCCGGTGCCCGCACTTCCGCTTCCGGGCCGGGAACCGGCGCGGCCGCGCCTCTCTGCGGAGAGCCGACCAACGGACTCGCGCGCTCCTACCAGCCTCCGGGCCTGGCCTCGTTGCCGCAGGGCTCCCTGACTCCGGACCTCGCTTGCTGAGAAGCCCCAGAAGCCACTGGCCGCGCTCAGTCTTACCGCTCCTCGCGGAAGCGTTGCCTCGGAGTTAAACGCGGGCCCCGCCCTGCTGGCTCCGGAAGGCGGGCTCTCTGCATGTCTGGCCAATAGGGAGCCGCGTCCCCGGCGTTGCGACAGCAGCGGCCCCTGAGTGGTGGGCGCGGGGCGGCGCCGGCGCGGGTCTGGGTGTGGCGCTGACGGTGGCCGCCCGGCACTGTCCGGGAAGCTGAGGGCCGAGGTGGTGTCAGGAGTGCAGTTCCCGTCCGCGTGGAGGACGTGAGAGACGTACGAAGCGCGGCCTGAGCCTCTCCCGGGAGGTAGGGAACTCCTGGTCGGAGAGAAAGCAACCCAGTGCGACTAGAAAACAACCGGGCGGTGCAGCGGGGCGGTGAGGGCACCAGGCGTGCGGGTTGTCAGGGCCCCTTCCTCCCCGAGCCCGACCTCGCTCACGGCGTCGGCCCCTCCTCGAGCTCCAGCCCCCGGGGCGTTACCTCGTGCACCTTGATGGGACCCTTTTCTCGCTGCCTTTTGCTCTGCGTGTAAGTAGCCTTTGCTTTGACTGGCGGAAGCTCCCAGTACTCACCCAGGATGCGAAGGACAGAGCTGGTCTCCTGCTTTGACTTCCCTCTTTTTCAAAAGACTGGTTTATTCACATTAGGGGAAGCTGAGTGAAGGATATACTGGAACCCTTTGTACTATCTTTGTAGCTCTTCAAATCGAAAATTATTTCTAAATAAAAAGCAAAGTAGAGTTGAGGATAACTATAATTTTAAAAGGCAGCTAAAAAATTTGGTGGAGGATGGGACCTTCCTACGCTGCTGGTGGGAATGTGAAATGGTGCAGCCACTTAGGAAGTGAGAGCGGCAAAAGGTTAAATGTAGAGTTACCCTGTTAACCATGTTAACCAACGGTTTCACTCCTAGGTTTATATCCAAGAGAACCGAAAACAAATATGCACACAAAAACTTGTACCTGAGTGTTCATGGCATTATTATTCATAATAACTAGCAAGTGTAATTAAATAACCCAATGTTCACCAACTGACGAATGGATAAACAAAATGTGGTATATTGTACAACGGCATATTGGCAATAAAAAGAAATGCTAGAACACAGGTAAACCTTGAAAACATTAGGCTTAGCATAAGAAGCCAGTCACAAAAGACCCCGTATTACATGATTCCACTTATATAAAATGTCCAGAATAGGCAAATCCATTGAGACAGAAAACAGTAGTTGTCTAGGGCTTGGAGGGTTGGGAGAAATGGGGAGTGACTGCTAATGGGCATGGGGCTTCTTTGGGGGTATTGAAAACGTTCCAAACTTTATGGTGGTGATAACTGTACAACTCTGTGAATATACTAAAAACCATTGAATTGTGCACCAAAAGTTGGTGAACTGTATGGTATATGGTATATGAATCACAAAAGAGCTGTTATGAAAAATAAAAATAAAAAAGAACCATTGATGTCTTGTTAATTGTTAAATTCCAAGTGGCAAATGCACAACTTGGCCCATATTAGGCACCCAATGCATATTTGTCGAATTTAAAGTGTGTGTGTCTGTGTGTGGGTGTGTGTGTGGTGTCTCCAGCTGCTGCCCCTAGGCACACCATATTTATTGAGTTGAAAAATGAATTCCTGATTTCTCCAAATTAGGAAAGCCTGTGAAGGAAAATACACATTAACTCCTTGAGAGCAGGGATCTTGTCTTGTCCACCTCTCTATCCTCCGGTCTCACCAGTGCCAGACTTGTAGCAAATAGTAGGTTCACCTTTGTATTGTGAAGAGCCCTAAGGCACAAAGTCAATGTTAAGTCAGTTTATCTGGGGAGCTAAAAAAGGAAGCTCAAAAGGGGTAGAACAGTTGAGATATGGGTAAAATTGTTTTGATATATGAGTAAAGTGGGCAGACAAAAAGAATATATCCAGTGGAAGGAATTGCAGCAATAAAGGTATAGAGGCAGGAACCGGAAAATGTATTTGAACAGTCCAGTTTGATATTCCACCCTTGCCCATACCTTAAGGAGCTGGGCTAGTTAGGTATGCAGGTGCTCTCTTGGCACTGAGGAAGCCCGAGCAAACCTGACATGTCATTTGTTGTTTACACATGATTTGCACTCACAGCCACATTCATATACTACTCTGCATCTGAAATCTTATGCTTCCATAACCCACTTTATGATGGCTACTTCTTTTTTATTTCTCTGTATGTTTTATATTATCCAAATAATACATGAATACATTCTGTTGATAAAATATTAAAGTAAGACAAGCAGTCCTGCCATTCCATTTCTGGCTACATAACCAAAAGAATTGAAAGGGTCTTGAAGAGATATTTGTACACCTATATTCATAGCAGCATTATTGACAACAGCCAAAAGGTGGAAACAAACCAAGTGTCTACCGATAGATGAATGGATAAACAACATGTGGTCTATACATGCAATGGAATATTATTCAGCCCTAAAAAGGAATGAAGTTCTCCCACATGCTATGACATGGATGAACCTTGAAAACATGCTAAGCAAAATTAGATACAAAAGGACAAATACTGTATGATTCCCCTTATATGAGGTATCTAAAGTAGTCAAATACATAGAGACCAAAAGTAGAATGGTGGTTGCCACAGGTTAGGGAGAGAAGGAAATAGGTTAAATAGGTACAGTTTCAATTTTTCAAGATTTACTGATAAAAGTTCTGGAATTGTATGGTGGTGATGGTTGCACAACAACATGAATACACTTAATGTTGCTGTACTCTACATTTAAAAGTAGTTAAGATGGTAAATTTTGACCACAATTTGAAATAAAAAAAATACAGGCATATATGGAGTAAAAAGTGGAGGTCTTTGCTCTCCTTCTCTTTTCCCTCTCTCCACTGATCACCACTGCAGTTTTTCCTTCTAGTATTTTTTTCCTATATACATAAAATTTACAGTCACTTTTTTACATAAATGATATCACACTGTACATTTCCTTTCAGTTTTTGCTCTCCATCCACCAATTTACTCTCTTCTACTTCTATAAGTCCTCCAGTCACAGGACTGCGATTTTTCCCCATCTGCCAGCATTCTTCCAACATGTGGTCCCTGGACTAGTGACCTATCAAGTTGTCTACAAGCTATTCTAGTAGGATGAGAAGCTTTTTACACATCTACCTCACAAGTTTTAAATGTCAGATTAATTATGACTTTCCCAGAAATCATCTTACACTCTCATTAGTCATTTCACTCTGAAGGTTTAAGTTGTGTTGGCACTATAGTTTTGTTTCAGCTGCTGTTCACTTCACAGGATGCTATTAATCTAAACTAATGCATTGTTTCATAGTATGCTCTATTATGTATTAAATTTGAAATTTCATTGTGTTACATTTTATTTTCAATTCACAAAAATGGACCAGTAATTCCTGCTCTATTATGTATTAAATTTGAAATTTCATTGTGTTACATTTTATTTTCAATTCACAAAAATGGACCAGTAATTCAAACTAGTTGGTTGAAAGTTAATTAAATCAGGATGCTGAATACTTTTAAACTCAGAAAAAATGTAAGTGAAACATTGACCAGAAATCCTGTGTAAATAAATATACAGGGTGAATATGACTGTGCTTGGGATGAGTGATCCTAAGTGTGATGAACTATGAAGAGCAGCTAAAAAGGAAAAGTGCTCCCTTTCTGAGCCGGTCAAGGGCTCCATGTGGCGGTTGGTCCCATTATAACAACGGGAAACTTTCACAATGTCTGGAACCCATGATGTCTTGCAAATGAAGGATGAGGATGTCCTCAAATTCCTCGCAGCAGGAACCCATTTAGGTGGCTCCAACCTTGAGTTCCAAATGGAACAGCACATCTACAAAAGGAAAAGCGATGGTGTCTATATCATAAATCTGAAGAGAACCTGGGAGAAGCTTCTGCGGGGAGCTTGTGCCATTGTTGCTGTTGAAACCCTGGCTGACAGCAGCATCATATTGTCCAGGAACACTGGCCACTGAGCTGTTCTGGTTTGCTCTGCCACGAGCCACTTCCATTGCCGGCCACTTCAGTCCTGGCACCTTCACCAACCAGATGTGGGCAGCCCAATCCCAGGGCTGACCACCAGCCTCTCACAGGGACATATCAACCTGCCCACTGCTGCCCAGTGTAACCCGGACTCTCTTCTGTGCTCGGTGGATATTACCATCTCGAGCAGCAACAAGGGAGCTTACTTGGTGGGTCTGATGTGGGGACTGCCAGCCCGGGAAGTTCTGCGTATGTGTGGCACCATCTCCTGTGAACACCTGTGGGGGGTCATGCCTGATCCTTACTTCTACAGAGATCCTAAAGAAATTTAAAAGGAAGAGCAGGCCAACACTGAAAAGGCTGTGACCAAGGAGGAATTTCAGGGTGAATGGACTTCTCCTGCCCCTAAGTTCACTGCTGCCCAGCCTGAGGTCACAGAGTGGTCTGACGGCATGCAGGTGCCCGCTGTGCCTATTCAGCAGACCCCACTGAAGACTGGAGCACTCAGCCTGCCACCAAAGACCAGTCCACTGCTCCCACTGCTCAGGCCACCAAATGGGTAGGAACCACCACTGAGTGGTCTTAAGCTGTTCTTCCATGACTCTTAAACAAAAAGGAAACAAGGTGGATGGAAAACAAACTGTTTCTACAAGTTGTGTCCTTTTATTTTGGTTCAGGATGCCTGGAATTACTTTAGGTCTCTGGACATGGCCCACTTCAGATAAAGCCCACTACAGATAAAGTATATTGCTTTTCAAAAAAAAAAAAAAAACGGAAAACTGCTAATAAACATAATAAGCCTCTAAGAAGTATGTCTTATTAAACTGGTAATCTATTTGCCCCTGGTTCCCAGTACATTATGTTATGAAACTTGGTCAAATAGTGGCATAAAGCCAATGAAGCTTTAGGGCCACTTAAAAAAAAAAGTTCAGTGGCCAATCTGATAATCAAAACAAATTTTTCTAGAGGAAGAAAAACCCACAAAATAATGCTTCCTAATAAAACATTGATAAAATTTCTCCCTAAAGATAAGAGTAGTGATCAAAGCTATAAAGGCATCCCTTAAAGTTGAACTTTTTATAGCCAAAAC